TCTCTCTCTCTCTCTCTCTCTCTCTCTCTCTCTCTCTCTCTCTCACTTAAATTTTAAATCTTAAGCCAGAAAAAGACGAAGAACAAGAAACAGGAAACAAAGAGCACGTTGTAGATCAGGCTTAAATCGAACTTTCGCGCCCACGAGGATCTCGCGCGCATCCTTTCGCGACCGCGGAACTTGCGTACGGATAATCAGTCAGATAGAAGTTGTGTCGGTCTTCTACACGGAGGAAGTGCGATAACAAAAAGACACGCAGTTCGCGTTTTATCACGCAAATCGACGGCGCTTATCGCCTTATCGCCCGGCGGTGTAACAGCTATGAGAACTGATAGATGGTACGCTTTATTAGACTTATTTATATTGCGAGCACATTCACGATTGTGCGCGCAGACCTGTCCGGGACGATCGACCGGTTTTTTAAGTATTTTCAATGAGATTAAGGCGGAATGATTTATCGTTGTATGTTATTAGCGATCAAGAGGACTGGATATGTGTCGAGCACGTGTTTACTTTACCGACATTTGCAGTGCTATTTGTACAGAGTGTGTCTCGGAAACCTGTCGATCTACCGTGTTTTCTCTGCCCACAGATTTTTCGGCGAAGTCGAAGACGATGATTTTTCTCGGTACGAGCTTGATGCGGAAATCAAATTTCTTCCCAGCCGCTTACTTGTCTCCGACACAGTTGAATTACGCAGTTCTGATTATTGAATTTTCATCGGAGACTTGATCGCGCAAAATTATTGGAACTGTGTCTCCGATTAAAATCCTCTCAGGCCCGTATAAATAGTCGTTACTTGAGGCCAGTGATTAGTCAAGTAAAATTTGGATAGTCTAAAATATCGCCAAGTCGGTTATCAAAGTCAACCAATCGTCATTTATGTGATCACGAATAATTTATTCGACTGGTTATTAATCGGTTATCAACATAGATTATTAATCAAGTTATATAAAATCAACTAGTTAGGATATAATCAATCAAAGCTTGATTAACAATTAATTTCACCAATCGATTAAATTATTCGAGGTTGCATTTATGACGATTAATTTATTTTTTACTTTTAACCACAATCAAATCACAATCAAACCACAATCAAATCACAATTTTAATCAATTAACGCATGACACTGCTTGAAACTTGTCTCAAGTGAGATACTCAGATCCGAAATTTGAATGAGATGCGGATTTTTCGCGTATATAAAATATGTGTCATTGCACATTTTCAATCGCGCGATTTAACTAATACTATACTATACTCGTGCCTGATTCCAAATTCAAATTTTTCTGGAGACAAGTTTGAAGTAATGATTCGTTTTGACAATCTCTTACATCGAAATAAAACTATTACCGAATGTGAAACTTATTTCGCAAGATTCTTCGATCCTCCGCAACCGCAAAACTGTTGCCACTTCGGTGCTGCTCTCTTATCGCGAGGACGAAGCCGATACAATACTTGTTCCAAGAATAAAAGGAAAATGGGACGAAGCTCGGTGTATGTGTGTGTGTGTATGTGTGCGTGTCTCACACGTGCTCTCGCACATATTTATCTTCCACATAGTTTCTGTGGTTTTACGGAGTAACGCGAAGCGGAAGGCGACCCGAGATGAAGAGATCCTTCGGCAAATGCCGTTAGCTCGGGTGCCTGCAGAGTGCAGCACGGATCGCGCATAGACTCTGCTGGCATCTGGTACTGCTTCGAGGGAATCGCGGTTCTGCCAAAAGCCTGTCATTGATACACGGCCGCAACGATAACGCAGGGACCGCCAATACCTGAGCGCGATAGCTCGCCGTCGCGCGGCCACGACACGCTCTCTCCCACATCTATCGATAATAATTATTCATCTATCGATAATAATTATTCGCTATTTATATACAGACTTGTCTGAAAGAATGAGAGGAAAAAAGGCAACACGAAATGTTGTTCTCTCGCGAATACTCTCTGACAGGAGCGACAAGTACTTATCGCGACGACAAAGGGAAACGAGAGAACGCAAGAAACGCGCAAGAAGTTACTTGATAAATTTTCACGACGGGACACGCACACACGTGGCCGCGAAGCGTTCACCCGCACGTGCAAGGGCACCGGACACGATCGCACACACGAGCGTCCCCGGACGATCGATGTGTCCGCGCGCTGTCACACGCGATAAGTGCACACACGGACGCACGTGTTCCCGTGCAAATGATGATTACTACCGGTGCGCCAATGCTGTGTGCTCGATAGCGACGAATGGCTTCGATCAAATTCGCCGCGTACTCGTGCAACGTGCGTGTAATGCCTTGACCACGTACTTAAAGGGTCACGTCACTCTGAGGCGCTAAAAAGAAATGTTACTAATTTTTCTTCGGTGCAACTATATATAAATTATGAATGATTTTCTTTGCTCACAATGTTTAGTGCATGGTTCGATGAAAATTTTGGTGAAAATGATTTCAAGAGATATCAAAAGATAGCCGAGGATGCTCCGCGAAGTTTCTTTGCTGAAACGCGCGCTGATGTCTCGAAAACTGATTATCCGACTGACTTCTAATTTGGCACGGATATTTTTAACAAGATTATCTGGGATGCAACGTAAGGATTTTGAGAAAAATAGAAGGTTGTGGAAATTACAGCAAATTGGAGGTAAAAATTTAATTTTAAATATTTATTATAAAAAATGGTGTATATAAAAAAAAAACAACGTTGTAACCTAAATAATCTTGTTAAGAATATGTGCCAAATTTAGAGGTAAGTTGGACTATTGCTTTTCGAGATATCGTATGCACCATCAGTGCGCGTTGCAGCAAAGGAACTTCTTGGGGCATCTTATAAGTCGATAATATTTCAATATTTTTTAAAATTATTTTCACAAAGTTTTCATCAAACTATATACTAAACATTGTAAATAAAGAAAACTGTTCATACTTTTTAGTTGCGTCGAAAAAAATTAATAATTTCTTCAGAAACGTCTCAGGGTGGAAGGATCCCTTGAGGGGAAGCCATACTTGAAAACTTTATTGACAGAATACTGACTTTTTTCTGCAAAGTTTATATTGCATTGGTTGCACAGAATTACAAACACTTTTATTGAAAGTACGTGCAATAATGAATTGGAGCTTGAGGCGTGACGAAAACGATAAAAAATTTTAAAACTTACATCTGGAGCTGTCAGATGACGTAAACAAACGTTTGTGTTTTTCTTTATATTTGCAATAAAAGGAAATGTTCAAGCGAATATTTGCGATCATTTCTGTGCGCAATTCGATTCTACAGACTTGAAATTGAAAGTGTATTTATTATTTTTCATATAATTTTATTAGCGCTTCTATAAGATGTAAATAAGCGTGGACTAAAACGCGACCAGTTTTAAGTGCCCAAAACATGTGAGAGTTAAAGACCAGAACGAGAAGAACATCCAGGCTCGGGTACACGTCTATGCATTGGCACTTTTACTTTAAATCCAAATTTTATCGTGATACCCAAAATTCAGACCGACGAGATCTCGATGCGTCGATAAGTGTGTCGAGTGTGCACCGACAGTCGTCATAGACCGGCGAATCCCGTGTTCTTCGAGCAGCACGTGGAATGGTAATCGACACGAGCGTTCATAAGCATTACCGTTCGAGCGGAACCGTTCGCGCAGAAGACTGGATTTTCGAAAAAGACACGGGAGTGACGGGAATCTTAACGCGAAGTGGAGAATAATTTTATCATGACGCACACACGTATACACATACACCTACACACACACACACACACACACGCCCGTCACGCGCACGCACACGTATATGTGCACGCGCGCGCTATTAATGTGCGTCCATTGTTAGCATTTTCGACCTTGCAGCACGCGAGAATGTACACGGGGAACAACGGGACGGTCAAGGAGAGCCTAGCGAATAATCAGCCGCGCGGGGGAAAAATGATTGCACTGCCTATGAATGAAAAGAAGGAAGCCATGAATTTCTGATTACCGTGCAGTTTGTAAACAGTGTTTCGCAGCGGAGATCACGAATAACGACGCGTCCGCTGTGGACAGGCGGAGGAACCTTACCATAATCGTCCCGTCACTTCCTGATGGCGTATGCCGACAACTTTTATGAGAACGTCGCGCCGGTGGCGGGCTCTCTCTCTCTCTCTTTCTCGAGGAGGCTGAGAAAAATCGCATTTGCAGAATCGCGCGATAAGCCGGACGTTTATCGTCCGACGTCCGGCGGTTGAAGGATACAACAGCGTTGACCTCGCGTTTCCCGAATAATCGTGTCAAGCTACGATCGTCGTGACGTTAAACGTCCGATGATTAGGGGAGAGCGGATTAAGTTGGCCCAAGGATTACGTTGGCTGTACGTTTCGTTGATACATTCACTTTTCGCGAGAGACAGTGAAAAAGGAATTGCGGAATGTTTCTTTCGGAACATAGAAAAAGTACTTATATTCCGAAAAGAACACTTCGCGATTTCTTCTTCACTGTTTGTTTTACAGACACATATGCAAAACGCGTGGCCGACCCTTCGGGCCAATCTGATTCGGTCTTCTCTAATACAAAATCTAACGTCAGTAAGGTCTATCTTGCTAAGGCACACAGTGAATTTTTTAATAACACATTTCGGCTTTTAAAATATCGCACTGTTGTTTCAAAAGCGATACACTCGAGAAATGTAATTTTCGAGTTGTCAACATGAAGTTAGGGTAAACATATCAGGGCAACGAACCGAAAGTGACAAAAATGAAGTTTGATCATATTTCTAAGAGTATATTCCTTTTGCCGATATTGTTCGATTAGTCGATAATTTTCTGTCAAGTTGAAGAATAGTTGTTCCCTTTTCTCCTGGGAAACTTAATTGTTCGACTTGCATCACTTTCGAAGCAAGAGTGCAATATAAATAGCACATATGAAATGAAAGGACAATACGTTACTGCAGAATATCGATCTACTACTTGGAGATTTCACGAAACTCCACAGTGATCTCTTACTATAAAATTCTCTCAGTATATCAATGCGGACCAAGGAGAGACGCGGAAAGATTCCCAGCGCGAGACGAGCGCGTCGGAGCGCCGACGACGACGTCTTCGTTCGCGGGCGTTATTGTTCGCGAGGAGGAGCGAACTTTCTCTCTGTTTTCTGAAATTCAGAGAATCCCCGGGGTGCGTTGCCCCGGAGACGGTTATTAAGAACGACGCGCGAGTAAGGCGAGTGAGCGTGCGAGGATTCAGAGCGTAATCCTCGCGCGCCTCTTACGAAGTTATTATTGCTGCGAGGATGAATCTGTAATATCGAAGCGAGCCGACTCGACTCGGCGCGACTCGACGCGGCACGGCCGAGCGAAAGTGCCTCGGCCGCATAAATGTCGGGCCGACTCCGGGCACCGAGAAGGTGGCTTTAACGAATGTGGAGAGATCGGTGAACCGGAAGCGAAAGGCGCGCAGCTTCATGATTCGTTTGGTACGACGTGTACGCGCGGGATCGTCCGTCTCTCCCGTCTTTAACGCTTCGCGGAACTAGAAATCCGTTTTTCACGCTCAAATCGCCGCCGCCAACGACTTTGTTCATGCGTTTCTGTACGCGCGACGCGCGCGCGAATTTTCCCTTTTTGCTCGCGGCGAAAGAGTGGCGACGGTCCGTAGAATGCGAAGTAGATTCGCATAGAACGCGAACGGACGAGGCATCATTCGTCCGTCTTTGGGAACGCGAGGAGCGTTCTGCTGAACAATCTGGTCATGATGATAATCAACCCTTTGAGTTCCAAGGGCCCAACTTGGCTTTGAAGATTTCAGCATTCTGCTCCGCCAACTCGGGATTGATAGTAATAATAAAAGTCCACTACATTTCATTCGTTATAAACACGGAGCCGAGATAACGTGCAAATTGCGAAACTTACTGAATGTGCAATGAAATAAGAAATGAAAGGTGTTCAAAAGCAAACTTGTTTTTCTAAGAATTATCCCAATTTCTTCAGTCGTTATTCCGACATCCCTTAGTAGAAAACTTCCGAAAAAAGTAATGCGCCGGAATTATTCTAACACGCATGTGGAATAGCGGAACCCTTGCGCGAAGAGAATATTATAATAAAAATTATGATTAAATTTTTATAATTATACAGAATTATACGGAATTTGTATGCATTTGTTTAAAAATGTTAGGCGCATTTCCAATTAATGGAGAACATTTCTAGGATCTTTTATAAACAGAAAATAACAAATATTTGTCTACCACGTCTAGGAAAGTTATGAAGATTGGGATTTATAATAGATTGTTAAAATAGTTATGAATTATGAAATATTTTTAAGTTTTGTATTCTTAATGTCTTTAAAATATTATCAATTGCACATGTATATTTTGAGAGGTGATTCACAAATGTAGAGAAATTTATTTCTTTTATTTTTATATACACCTAATATATGAATCTGGTGGACAAATATGTGTTATCTTCCGTTTCTAGAAGTTTCCAGAAACAGTTTCCAATAATTATTTAAGATTCCGCCAATAAATCGAAAATGGTCTATTTTTAACATCTTACTTTGCTATTTTTGTAATAAGTTGTTCAATTTCAATATATAGTCAAACTTTACAAAAAAAACTGTAAAATAAAATATAATTTTTATGTGAATTTTACTACAATATTTAGAAGTCACCCTTCCGTATCTCAAGAATTTATTTCAAAAAATTACGTGCTTACTGTTGATAAATCGATACTTATCATTTTAATTTCTTTTCAATCTTCTTTTCATTTTCTTTCTGAGATTTTTATTCTAGTTTCTTTCCCGACTCAATTCCTTTTTTTGGCATTTATAAGTAAGCAACCAACGTGCAAAGATCGCGGAAAAATCTGCAAAGGATAGCTCGAGTTGATTCGACTGCGATTTCCATGCGATTTCCCGCGTGTACCGTTTCTCGAACGTCGGGGTGATTAATTGGAGTAATCTCACCGTGTGCGCGTAATTTCTCAGCATTTCCATCGGTTAGCGTTGGCACTCATCACGAGAAATAATGGCCTCCACGTGTCGATTAAAAGTTAATTGCTACGTTACGCTCGCGGTATCGCGCGACCTTCGGCACTGTCGAGAGCCGGACGCGGATGTTTCCAGGTAGGGGCTCGCTGGCGAATCGCCGCGCGGAGGAGCGCGTCTTCGCGTGCGTGTGCTCGCGATTTCCGCACGCGCAAAGACGGGGCGAGATCGGGCAACGACGGAGACGCGTGATTCCGGGAGCCGGTAAAAATTGGAAACGCGATATAAATGGAACGTGACCTCCAAGTACCGTATAACTCGGAAATAGCCGGGATGCTTTCCGAAGACTCGCTGTCGGAAACGGGCGCCCACGTGCGCTCTCGTTCGATGCAGCGGCGATTCACGTGGCGCAACACGTGAGCAGGCAGCAGGAGCAGCAGCAGCAGCAGCAGCGGTGGCGGCAGCAGCCACCACGACGCGGGAGTTCCCGTGACGAGGGTAGCTTCGCGGTTGACGATAGCGCTGGTGGGGCTTGTTAAATGCGAAGCGAAAGAGAGGGTGCTCTCGCTGCCGCTCGCGTTGCCGTCGTCGCCTCTCAGCGAGTGCTTTGCGCAATTATTACAGCTTTATTACAGCCAGAATAGAGAGAAGAAGATAAGGGAGACGGAGGAGGAAGAGACGGGGATGTTCGAGCGCGTCGCGTTTCCAGGTTCGATCGCCCCGGCGAAAATTATTATGCGCAGCGCGTTATCGATCAGCCGGCCGCCGAATGCGAAGGTCAGCCACGTTCCCGAGCGAATTAGGTCTCCGAGGACCGGCTCGATCAACGTCAGTCGACTCTAACAAGTAATCTTCACCGAATGACACACGCCGATCTTACCTTCTGTAGTTTGATACAGTACCGCGAAAAATGATTATTTACGCAAAGAAAATGAAGTAAACATCAATTTCATCGCTTATAATATACTACTACATCAATTCATATTTTAACGATACTATAAAATATTTCACAAACTACACATATTAGAAAAAAATGTCAACATCTTGAAAGAAAAATTCAGGCAAAAATTTCTTGAGAAGTATATAAGATGATGGCTTATATTTGACTATGAGACCTCCTATCAGAGTCTTTTCAAAGTTGAGAGTCTCGCGGTCATCATCTTACATACCCATTACAACCAAAAAACTTTTGTCTGAACATTTTTTCAACAATTTGTTGAACAATGTTTATTTGTAAAATATTTTATAGCGTCATTGAAATGGGACATCTTGTACAAGCGCTGAAATAGATATTGGGCTAATGTTTTTTACATAAATAATTATCTTTTAGTATTTTTTTTTCTTTCTTTAGGTCAATGTCAAATGTGATAATAAGAAATGTAATAAGTGAATAAACAATGTAGGAATTCTATGATTTAATCAATCTTCAGTCGCAATTATTCGCTCCCGTGATAATTTGCAGGCGGAATAAATGAATATATAATAATGATAATGTCAACTTTTATGCGATCGATGCATAGGCGATGATTTTTTACTTAAAAGAAATAAAAAAAAATATACGGCAAGGCATTAGCAAGAATGCTGTCCCAATTTGGTTAATATAAAAGTAACAAAATAAAGATGCAAAAATCAAAATTGAAGATGAAATTAAGTCTGACAAGAGTAATATAAAAAATAAATCGCCTTTCAAAGTCTCAAAGGCTCTAAAAAATATGAAATAATGTTGATTCGATATTTCTATATGCCTATAATCCTCTTCTAATACTCTAATGACACCGCAAATCGGCACGAAAACATGACTGATTGAATAAATAATCATACTCTTTTTTTATCATTAATTTTTTTACGTTTATAATTAATTGTCTACCTAATTTGTTTTCTTTTCGCGACAGCTTCTAATATCGTTATAATATTAAGATAGAGGATCAAAGGTACATAAAGATATCAAGTCAAAACAATTTCACACATTTTAGAACTCTTGGGCTCTTTGAACTCTTATTTTTGTTAAAGTGTTTCTTATTTCGTACTTCTTAATTATTTATTCTCTAAATTTCCTTTTGAAGTCGAATAAAAAAAAGTTCTTTTTTTAAGTTCACTAGAAACAAGAAAGTTTTGTACTTCCAGATATTTCCGGATTTTCAAGAAAGTAATACAGTTATCCGGTCTCCAAAGATTCCCTGAACAAACTCCAGTAATGACACTAAGCTGAAGAGCAAATAGATAACATACTAAACAATTTTACAAAAAGTTTTGTCTCAATATCTCCAACGGTTCCCGAGTTATAAGAGGGAACATACACACAGGACAAACTGAGAACCTCTTTTCTTTAAAATCGATCTCAAACAAAATAATTCAGAGTGCAAAGAGTACCTTAATAACCGTTACAGTGAATGCATTATAGTGACGCAAGGAAATCCGAAAATATCTGTTTGCATGATGCAAAAGGGATGCAAAGTCACGGTTAAAATTGTGATCTGCGAATCTTTCTCGATTCCTTCGCTCATCTAGACGGCACGTCGCGACCGCATGGTGGAGTCCTTCTCGCGGCGATAATTGCGATAAAAGCGACGAAAGAGGCCGCGCTAGGATTATCTCATGCGTGGCGGCCGGACAATTTATATTTTAATCGTTCTGCCGCGCGCGCGACGAGCAGCTTTTATCTGTCGCATGGCAGGCGATGGCCCGTCCGACCCATCTGCCTCAATCATCGATCGGAGGAGAAACAAACGCGGCATCACGCACGACAGAGTCGGTCCGATCTCCAGCTTTCTCTCTTTCTCCCTCTCTCTCTCTCTCTCTCTCTCTCTCTTTCTCTCTCTCTCTCTCAACATACATACACACAGCGTCGGCTGTCTACCGGAATACGCGCGGTCGTCGCTCGGCCGGAAAATACAAAGGGATGTGCGCACGACGTCCGCAGGTCGTGCTGCTGCTGCTGCTGCTGTTGCTGGCTGCTGCACTTGATGGACCGAGTCGGTCATGAGCGAGGAGAAGAACTCGCGCAAGGTAAAGCTGCCCGACGGTACGGACAGCTCATAATAAACACCCCGCGGACGAGACTCTTGCACCCTCCTCCGATTTAACGCTGAATTCGATTCTCACGTCTCGGTGTAACGTTGCGCACGCGATCTCGACACGAAATGCGAACCGATATCGACCGCGTGGATACGCGAAATGCGAAGAGCTGTCGACCGATTTCCCTGTACGGGAAAGAAAGTCTTGGTTGGATTAACCAAATGTGTCCGGTGAAATACGAACGGGCTGGAATTCCGGTTGAAGTTAACAGGATTGTGTTCAAGTTAACAAGATTTCTGGCTTTCTGGTAATTTAAATAGAATTGGTATCTTCACAACTTTTTGGTCCGTTTACATTTCACCGGAAATGATGTTGGTCAAACTAAACGTCTTTTCCGTGCACATCGTGAAAATTTCACGTAATTTTCAGGCAAGATTTAAGGCAAGTTCCCTTGACTTTTCTTTCTTCTCTTTTCTTAATCTCACACTATCAATGTTAGTTATTTAAATTCACATTTGGAGTAATAATTTAATAAAACAAAAATGGTATCGCTTTATTTTTCTGCTGTAAAAAGCATATTAAAAACGTCCAGATAGGTTACAAGTAAAAAAGCAATTAACGAAGTCAAAATAACTCTACACATTAACGATAATGGAACAATTATTACTATTAGCATGAGATAGTCTAGAATTAACTTTTCGAATGCTATGGATATATGCATGGAAAAAAATTTAATCAGATTAACTAAATATTTAGTGAAGTATAAACGAACTAAAAAAAAATCCGGCTAATTTCTCTCTTCCAATTTTAATATTCTGGTTTATTCATGTTTCACCTGACATTTAGTTAATCCAACCAAACTATTTTGTGCCTGATATTTTTTAGCAACGGTAATAAATGAAATTTTATTTGTCATCGGTCTATTGTTCTCGATTTATCAAGAAATGAGTTCTTTTATCGATTAAAAATATTTCGTCTTCAGCTCCGAAGTGCTCTCATAGGATTCAAAGGACTAACGTCGACTTTCAAATATTTATCTGTTGCTTCGATTAGGATCTCATGTAAAGGTCGTTTCAAGTGAGCGGCAAAACAATGCGATTCGGTTCGCGCGATGCAGATGCACGCGATGTCGAGTCGAAAGAACGAGACGAGAGAGGTGAGAGATCGTCGGACGGGAGAAATTCCGGTGAGACCGGGCGACGTATGGACGAACGTGCGGGGAGTACGTTGACCTGGAATGACCTGACCTGCGACAACCCAACGTGTCCGACGATAAACTGTCGTATATCAAAGTAATCTCATGCGCGGATCATCGGGTCCGGTGTATGGCTACGTTACGCAGCGCCGCGCACCACTTTTACGTAAATGGAAGCACGCGCCTCGCCTGCATGTACCGCGTCTAAGTAATTCGATGACGCTATCTGTCTGTTCACCTCACTCTTCGACACATCGATTCTATCGGTAATGGCGCGTTTGCCGGCCGGTCGCGCTCTTATTTCATCATTCGCGAATTTCTTTTTCGAAAATCTCGACTTCGACGCCATCACACTGTCCAAGAGAGTCGACCTCTCTCCGGATTTATTGACACACACGTTTGCATGTGTCCAATTTTGGTTAATTAAAAAATTAAACATTCACCACAAAATCTCGTGAAAAAAGGAAGATCTTGTCGCATGATTGACAGATGTTCCATTTACGTATCTTTAAAATTAAATCGTTTGCTTCTAAAGTGCGAGAATATGGTCAATAAGAGCGAATGTTAGTGCGAATAATTCAAACTCTGGGAGGACTAACTCCAGTATTCAATAGTCTTAATTATTAATTGCACATTTATTTTTCGATTTTTTAAATATTTTAATAAATCCGTCCCTGCATTGAGAGGAAAAAATTGTCGTTCTAATTAAAAATTATTTTTCGCCCCGACCACATTTTTTAATTGTTCTAACACGAAAATAGCAGTACATGTACATAAGGTTATCACTAACGTTACAGGAATTAAATTAAAAAAAAATAGTTTTCTCCACAGTAATTTATAGTAATTATTTCTTTATATGATTATAATTACAAATACCAAACATTTTTTCTCGGTGTAAAGAGATCAGATGGTGGATTTAGAGACTCTTGTCGTCTTTTCTTTCGTGCTCAACTATTCGATAAAAACTCTCAATTCGTGTAGAAAAAAAGATTTGCTAATTTAACAAAAGACCAATGCTCAAAATGTAACAAACGGTTTGTTGATATGAGACAGCAAATGATGATGGGAACAAATGATTTGTTACTTTCAATTGCGGCTTTAAGCCACACTTCTATAATAGAGACATAACTGATCTAATCTAACCTAAATAGACGAGAACAAATGCGATTTATATCTCAGGCAATAGCTGCGTTCAGCAGAGAAAGTTGCTTTGCAACTGTTGTAAAATTCGTGAACCTTACTAGTATACGCTCTTAATCTTGGCTGCATCTAGTAGCATATATCAATCAAATAAAAAAATTTATAAATTTTACAATAGCTGTAAAGCAGCTTTCTCTGCTGAACTCAGCTAAAGTATGTTTGTTGAAGTGACAAATGATGAGAAATGATTCGCAACGGTGACTGTTCGGCCTGTCTCCCTAGCGATCGTCAAACAGCGAAGGCGAGCTTTTGTTCCGATAACTAAGGGATTTTTCTCAATGTAAGAATACGGGCGATCATCATATTCGTTTGTTTCTCACTCGGATCGTAACGATCCCGCGACGAAAGAGGACGGCAGAAGCTCTTATTCCGGTGCTGCCATACCTCGCCGTCGACTTGGAATTAACCGGAGCGCTTTCCCAGAAATACCCGGGCGAACACGTGACCGGGAAACGTGCCTGCCGGTGCACGTGGAGCACAGGTACATCCCCCGACTATCGGCCGCCACGACGCGCCTCGTGCCTTCAACCCTCTTTCGTTCTCGGCGGAGAAGAGGCTTCCGCTCCTCTCAGTCAACGCCGAGTCTCTTCTCGAGCCGCGTGCGTGCATGCGTGAGAGTGCGCGAGTGCGCGTGTGTCTATCTGTCTGCCTGTCCGTCGTCGCGAAAATCGTTCGGACGTCATCGCGCGATGCACCGTGAGAGTTTCTGCGCCACGGGCCGGGCCGAGCGGACGTGCGCGTGAATTCGCCGATCCGCGCTATGGAACCCATAGTCGCGCTTCTTCCCCGGGATCGCGATTACGTTGCCGTCGGATCGATTCGGCGACGCGCGTGATGGATCCGCGCGATCGCATCAAGCCCGCCGGATTGTTATTCGCGTAGTAACACGCCGGGCGAGCCGCGGCTCGCGCGCCGAGAAACCGCGCGAGATCGATCGTGGCGGCCGGAGGCTTCCTTCCACTCTCGCGAGGATAATCGACAGTTACGGCGGAACGTAACGCTTGCTCCCTCATGATCGTGATTTTCCGCGACCTGCTCATTTTTATCCCCGTAATACATCCGACTCGCCTCTTTTTTTCGTCGCGAGCGGCCACATATCGCTCGCCGATGCGGAGAAGAAGGTTTTCTAGCTCCTGTGCCGGACTACCGCCGCGAACGGCGTTATTTGCGCGCTCTTGGGTTCTCCTGCTCGTTACTTTTCACATCGGAGCTTCGCGCGAGCTCGTCAACCGATTTCCTTTCAATTTCACGTTGCTGCGTTACTGTGACAAACACGGGAAGCGATTGAGAATCTTTCATGACAATAAACTGCATCGACTTTCCGATATTTTTTTTTTCATTGATCTGATCTCTCTTCTTCTTTGCATAATATGAACCTCTCTAGTGGTAATTTAAAATCACTGCGCGGCTCACCCCAGAGAGAGAACTTTTCTCTTAATATCTATATATAATCCATTAATTTTTATAATAATATTTGATATTTTACCATGAACATTTTCCCTTATATTAATTCTTTTTTGTATTAATTATATTAACCAAATGTCACTAAAAAAGACAATTTTTAATTTAAGTTTTTCTAAGATGTTATATTTACAAATTAATTTTAGCAAAATAAATTGATTTGAAACCTGAGCTTTCTCGAGCTTTCTATCCATGACAGAATCGCGACGAAAAAATATTGGCGCACCAAGTAGGTCTTATGTATGCCACGAGTGGCATCATGCATCTACAAAGTTTTATTTTTTCGGATTTTCCGTGATTCCGTGCATATTCAATAAACAAAATCCTAAAAGTAACTTTACTTTGTCTATCGTTGTATGTGGAGAAATACGCTACATTTATACTTGCAAGATCGAATGAATTACGGAGGATATATTGATATAATCATTAACACGAGGAATTAAGGAGGAAGCTTCTTTCAGCCCGTTAATTTTTGTGCGTCGCCTGCAGAACTCACGAATATTTTAATGTCAATCCACGAAGTTATGTGTGAAAAATCGACAAAAATGAAACACATCTCCTAATCCGTGACTGATGAACTTTGAAAAATTACAAGTGCATCGCGGAAGGAAAAGCTGTAACTACGACCCAAATTACAAAAGCCATTCGTCGTTAAATTTTCAGTAACCACACACAGAAAAATATCTGCTGCTAAGAAAAGCGTTTGTTTAATTTACTTTTCTTCTTTTGAGTAATAGTTAATACATATATAATATTTAAAACATAATAGTTAATATAAAAATAGTCTATATATATTTATATATATATATATATATATATATAAGTTCTCTATATATATATATATATAATATATATATATATATATATATATATATATATACATATATATCTTTACAATATAGTTTTTTTCTTGATAATAGTCTTGAAGTGTACTCATTGCAAATTTGAGGAAAGCTCATTATCATGTATTCAAAAAAAGTTGTTCTCTTTATAAAATTATAAGACCTTGATGAAAAAGAAAAATTGGTTCAATCTATCAATCAAGCCGAATTTTGATCTTGATTTAATATTTTAATTGAAATGCTAAGCTTACTAAGATTCAAAGTGTCTTTTGAATAATCTGATGCCTACGATGAACTTACGGTAGAATTGCGAAAGCACAAACTCTTGCGAAATATTTGAAATCAGTAACATTGACTTGAGTGCAGTATGTATCTTTCTGTGTGCAGTTGTATCGTGACGCGATCGTGAAGCTAATACAGAATTGCGCAAGGAAGAAAATCATGAACGATTAAAGACAAACAGTGCGATTCATACGATCGATGTAAAAGGACTGGTCCACGCTTGCCGTGAATAAAAGTGAGCTAGAGACGTGCGTCATCCTTCACTTCTATCAAAGTTACAATGAAATGACAACAGGTGATCGAGCGAAGAGCCGCGACCAGATATGGCGCCAACCCGTTCTTGAGTAACCCCGCGCTCAGGAAACTGTCAGCAAATCGCGCATCCCGCGAGAGGGGGAGAGAGAGAAACAGAGAGAGAGCGAAAGAGAGAGAGAAAAAGGAAGAAGCAACGAAACAAGAAGGCGCTCCGTCAAATCTAGAAATGGATTCTTGCGGCTGGGGCGCCCGAATGGCGAACGAAGAAGGGGCCGAGGAGATGGCTGCGGACACGGCCACCTCTTGGCAGCAGCAGTGTTACACCTGGTGCGCGCCGTACTCGCATCCGCATCCACACCCCCACCATCACCACCACCACCCGCATCATCCCCGTCAGTACCAGGGTAGCCAGTATCAGCAGCTACCGGCCAGCGCCTCCGCCGTCAACGCTTCCACCCACTACTCGTCCTCCCAGCAGCATCATCTGCAGCTGCAGAGCAGCGCCCAGCTGCCGCCGTTGGACCAACAGCAGCATCTTCACCCTGTGAGGGGGCAGGAGCCGCTCAGGAGAGCGGTTCCTTATGACGGACCAGGTACCCGACGCGCCTGTCGTGCGCGCGTCAATCTTCACGATTATCGATCCGTCGCGAACACGAGCGCGCGGAACGGTCGCGGAGTACGAGACATGGTCGATTAATCGCGGCGATCCATAAAAATGAGCTCCCGGGTAGGATACTCGTATCCAACTGAAGACGCTGCCGGAGCTACTGTTAATTTTATTTCTTGTACATTTTTGTTGCACTTGTTGATGATAGGAGTGAGAACATTAAAACGCTATAAACTGCCCGTGAAACTCAAAGTGGGCCAAAATGAAAAAAATATGACCTAAATATTTTTTGTACTTCTACATTTGTGCCAAATTAGAAAGAAATCGGAGTGTACCTTTTGGGTAGGTTTACTTGTAAGACTCATATTAATAGTCGTTACTTGAAACTCCTCTCAAATGAGACGCTCAGATTTGAGTCGAATGAGGGTTTTTCAGTTGAATCGTGATTACGGATGTAATGTCGCATGTATCACATAACTCAACTGAGAAAACTCGGATTTAATTCCGAGTAAAAATCTGAGTATCTCACGTGAGATATATTTCAAGTAACGATTATTAATACAGACCTAAGAGAATTGTCGAGTTTCTATTGTCGATTGTCTCGCGATGCTTATGAAAGTCTGTTTGGACGATTTCATCAATCGGCAAAATTATATTCGTGCTTTTATATATGACCATTAATCAATTTCGATTATTGATCTGCCCATTATTTCAGTCAAAGAAAATTTTAATCGATTAATACGCAACACTGCTGTAGAGACCGACGGTGTGGTCGGTCTCTTCACGAATCAGCGATTCGATTCCGCGCGGCGGAGACTCATTACATTACAGGCGATCCCGGACTTAGCTTCCGGATTTTCTAAATTACTCTGCCCCGGAGGATTTCCGCGGACGAAACTGCGCGATGGTGCTCCGCTCGATTCGGACGTCACGCGACGTCAATCGCCGAATGAATCGGTCCTCTGTCGGGTTTCATATACTATCGAGCTTAGAGCCTTCACTGCGCGCATCCCCATTATATCACGTTGATTATAGTGCCATCTTCTTATTATATATCCCGCGGCGCTGCTGCACCCCGGAGACTCGCGTTTCGCGACTTTCGTGATCCCTTTTATCGACGACACGAAGAGAGCGGCCTAAGGAGACGAGGTGGCCGCCTAAAATCTAGGTTGTCGGGAGAAAGGACTCTCGATATTCGGTTTCTGGCAAAACTAATGTTCGCACGTCGCTATTGGCGACGCGACACGGGTTATATCGCCGTGCTGGCTGCCTCTTCTCCCGACGACGTTGCTCGAGATGATCCAATTTGCCGCGGACGCGATAGCGAACGATTATAATAATGAAAGCCCTATAGCTGCAAGCGGGGAAAATGTATCGTCGTGAAACACGGCGGTAGAAAAGCATGAAATAGAACCGCGCGATGCAATCCGAGGCACGAATTGTACCTCGCAATTGTGATGGTTATTATTATTATTAATATTTCATATATCTATGACTATTATTTCATCACATCGTGAAAATATCATATTATTATTATTCTTATTATCATTATTATTATTTTACTGAACACTTGCCGCAGAATTAATATATAGAGCGTCTGACAATTCGTGACACACCCATTGCATGTACAGATAAAACTCATCAAATTGAACACAAAATTTCTCTACCATTTCGCGTAAAATTTTGAATTATTAATTAAAGAAGATTGGTACATGATTGCACACGATAATACATCAATTTTCTTTGATTAATAACTAAGAATCTACACGGTTATTTACAAAATGATGAAAGACTATTGTTTCATTTGATCAGGTACAAGCACATGTCGCTAATCTTACTAAAATTTCACGTGGTTGTTTGCAAAATGATTGAATTCGAGTGATTTTTATAGAGTGAACTCTGCGCTTTGAATCAACGAATAGAATATTTTCGATAAAACGAAAGAGAATATTTTCTCTCGTAATTGAAGAGTGAATCTGAAATATTTCGTCGTCTCAAGAACATATTCGTTCTAATTGATCGAGACGAGCCACTCATGGAGTCAGAATCCACTCTAGTCTTGAGTGAAACGTTCACTCTTACAATTTTAAGTGGCAATATCCTCACTATCGCTTCGAGCAAAAATACTGTCACTTTTCACTCGTTTTGAGTGAGATTTCACCTTAAAAAAATTTAGAAAATACATTTTAATCAAGTAATATATACTGCTTTCAATGGGCGAAATCATAGTTGAAAGCTATTTGTATAAGTTAACAAAATGTTACATATTTTTCGGAAATAGGAGGTTAAACGCGACTTAATAACGCGTCGGCGGGTTAGACGTCCCTGTATCGTCGCGTAACCCAGTTGGCGCGTCAGGACGACGAAGACGTCGAATGCAATTTTTCCGGAAACGCGCGTTTGCGTAACGCGACGAAGAAAGGGATTTGTCTGTTCGTGTATTACCGCGAAAGCCCTCGCGAAGGGACAAGGCGGCGGGAAAGTCGCCCGCGCAACCATCGGTAAATGGTGCGCTGAATTATTCATGGGAATCTGTTGCTTCTATCTAAACGGCTCTCTCTCTCTCTCTCTCTCGTCCTCGCTCTCGTGCCGCGGATTTGCTTAGATGAGATATATATTAGAGAAATAAATCAGTTTCTATTGAATGATGTAGAATTAAAGGAATCGAAACATTCTTGAAACTAATCGTCTCTCCGCGATGTGAAGAAAACGTGATTAAAGGGAGTGAAATTTTGATGGAATTTTAGTTGACTAGAAGTGTAACTAGTTTAACCTGAATCAAAAGCTAACTAATACAGAATGAATTAAATTTTTTAACTCGTTATTGAATCATTGGTTGAATTTTGTACCGAAATATATTGGGTTGGTGCAAAAGATTTATTATTTTGTTTTATTAATTTCTCGTAAGAAATTTGAATATTAAAACAAGAATAGGAAGTTTTCATTAGGTGTTCAAAAAATACTGCTTATTTTATTTGTGAAAATTATTAATCTTTGAAAACTGGATAATTTCATTTCCTATTTTATTTGACAAACGTGACGAACTTTTAAAATTAACTTAATACAAGTAGTTACTTAGTTTTGTTACTCAGTCGTTGGCTGCACGGAGATAATTTTATAAGAAAAATTATTGTGGAATTTTATAACCAAGGAATAGATTAACATTCTGCAATAATTGATTATTTTTCCATTTCCTGTGTGCTACATATATTTATGAACTGAAATATGCTATTAAAAAATTTGCTGTTTTTAGCGAAATCTATTTACTAGGTTTCTTGGAGAGATAGATCTTATTGTCAGTTTATTCTTGCACTACTACTTGCATTGATAGAAGAAAATATATAAAAAATAAGAAATATTTATTCAATGTTTACTAATAACATATTTACTTGTACTAATATATACATATTTTTATACTGAGAAAACATTTCTTCCCAATGAAAGTATGTTTTCCTAAAACCATTGCTTTTCATGAAAGCAATTAAAAGTTATTTTATAAAAATCGCTATTTCATAAAAATCTGAAAGGAACAGAAATGAGCGTCGTTTTATTACCTGGCAACTACGATTTTTTCATAGTTTATATAATTATTTTATGATTAATTAATTTCTGATCTGATACATAACTGTAACTTCTTTTATCTAACCGTCGGCTAACTTGCTTATCTAGCGTTAAATTATCGACAAGTAACAAGTTAGTACAAGAATATACTACTTTGTAGGCTTTTACTGGCTAATTTCACGAAAGGACGATATTCGCAGGACGAATCGGGGGCCACGTCCTGACACGCGAACGAGACCAGACGGAACGTCGGCGGAACGGTGCGAACGACAACTGTACTGACGCGCACGATTCTTCTCGCGGAGATGACGCATTGCGGTGACATCATTATATAAAGCTGCACGTATATACGCACCGTAATTACATTTCTTTGTTGGCGTTTTCCGAGACAATCGCGCATTTTGTACTTAGCGCATCATTTATTCATGATATTCTCACATAAATATTTATTGTCTATTGCGTCCAATCATCGCCTACCTGATGAAACGTAAACCTCTTCGGTCTTCGGATACAGGAGCGGACCGCGGTGACTTCGCGCGGTTCCAGGCAAGCACGCGAAAGTGAAATGTCTCTCCTTTTACTTCATTAATATGTATTTAACTTGAACCGACCGCAGTATTTCGCGCGACGACGCTCGGTCGCTTGTGTCAGAAAGTCGGAGAGTTCTTCGTCGTCTTTTCGCGCAGACTCGCACCTCCGCTACGGTTCCCTCGATTTTTCGAAGTTGTGCGGTTTGGGACACGATTGCGTAACCGCCGCATCACTCGCCGGGCTTTCATTGTCGGGGGAAGTCTTCGCGCGGATGTACCGTGACGATCGTGTTTATCCGAGAAAAGCGACTGCAAATGGAAATTACTGTTACGCGCGGCGTGCACGCTCGCGGCGCTATTTTCTCTCCAGCTCGTAGACGCATTCGAGGTAATCTCGATATCGAAATAAACAACAACGTCCATCACGCGGGACGCGACGTTACACGGAAACTGTATCTAATCGCGCGCGAGATTTCCATGGACAAAGTGGTTCTTCTCGCCGAGCCGCTTCTTCTCCCGCGCCAGCTCACTTTTATGTCACCCCCGTTTTATTCAAATCGCGCTTTGTCCAGTGGATTTCGGAGAGTACGAGGGAATCACTTCGCCATCCTTCGCGAGTAGACCGCGGTCCATTGTCGTAAAAACTCTCTTTCGCTTTCCCGACTGCACGGAGAGAATATAGTTTTTTTTCACATAAATTCTTTTCAATTTGACAAGATTTTTACACTGAGAAAAAATAAGAAATAAATAATATTTTTTATAATAAATTAAAAATAAAAGGGTGCTTGAAAATTTATTTGTGGAATATACAGTTTATTTCTGTGGAATAAGATTTACTTCTGTGTGAATAAATTTTATATCCCACAAGTAAATTTTCAAACATTTTTTCTCGGAG